AGATTTTAAATTCACACACATGCTGCTTATTTTTCTTAGGCCAACTGGCTTTTATACAGAGCCAACACAGCAGCTACAGATTGTGTTCATAGCGCCTGCTGTTAAAAAAAAAACAACAAACAATTGAATTCACCCAATCAATACAACAACAAAGAAATGCAACCAACAGACACTCATCAGATAATGGAGAGACCCTGGCGGCGATGAAAAGCCTTTGGCAGCGCGGGGATGACACATTTGCTTGATTCAATTGCCTTCACAAAATCACAAGAGGTGCGTTTTGGTTTTACACCTTGCAGAAAATTTCATTTCACAAAAGCCTTGAAATCTTACCTGGGCGTAGAGCAAATTGAGCCCAACTCTGTTGTCCATCACATCACTGTCGTACGCCATGTCCCAGTAGCTGCAGGAGGAAATGACACAAACAGTTCGATAGTACACATTCAAACAGGAACATGACAATTGTTACTATAAGAATGTACTGATACAAATACTGATCTCATTCAAATACTCAAGTACTGAAACATGCCGATCCAGTGACGCAATACTCCACATCGGCTTTTTACTATATCCAGATGCACACCAGTCAGCCAGGGTTGTGTGTTTTCCTACTGCAGTTCAGTGTCTCACTGTTCATTATCAGCAAGTACACAAGTTAAAATATTTATATTTCATACATTTGTTGAAAATAGAATTGGGGCAATCTTATTACATTGTTATTATTATTATAAAAATAATTATATTTAGATGTTTTTTTAAGATATGATATAGACCATAAGATCAGCATTGTCAACTCTGACCCCATCTGAGCAGATGAAACTGATCCAAGGTCAGTTTCAGAAAATAAGAGCTACATGCAGACTGCAGCCCTCTCCTCTCAGTATCTGTGAGATAACAACAGAGCTCCTCAGTAGGAGGCTGGGGAACAGTGTCTGTTGATATGTGGATGCTGGAGGGCCGCCCGAGGAGTCAACTGTGATTTTGAAAAAACAACAATGAATTCCTTTCTAACAGTTCGAGGAAGGAACTGGAATTGGGACCACATGTGTAAAGATCCCATTCGGGTCGTGTTATGTGTAATTAAAGACACTCCTGAGGACAGACGGAGATGTGATGATTTCATTACAAAGGTTGGGATTATTTCCATCTGACCTGGCGTTGCATTAATGATCTTTTCCTATGTTACAGCAGAATCCCAAAGTCATTCATGAATTACTAAAACTTTAGTCAAGGTGTGAGGTTTACCAACCGATAATGTTGTATAAATAACCAGTCGCTTTTTTGACTATTAATTGTGTCAAAATGACAATGTCAAAAGATGTTTACTTCTTCAATATAAACAGCATATACAGTATAACTAGCTTTTTTAGGGGCATTATTGTAAACAGTCATCATTGGTTAGTACTTGGGCTCAAACACACATCTGTTTTGAAGTGTGCTTTAAAAAGAAATGTTTTGAGCAAAAGTTTTAATTCTGCATGCCGAGTAAAAAAATTTAGAACTTTCTCCCCATAGGATACGGCTTAAGAAATGCTGTGTTCATCATTTTCTGCTCCATTTGCAGGGCAAAAATTCTGATGAATACTGAAAATGTTTTTTTTTCTTTTACTGGGGAAAATAACCTTTTACTCAACTGTTTTTACTTTGATTTTGTTATTGCTGTGGAAAACTTCAGTGACATATTTGGTTGAATTTGACGTGTTGTAATTTCCTTTCAACAGCAGTTTTTTTTCAGTCTGATCCTCTCCCGGACCTCAAACACAGGGGGGTCTGTTTTTCCCCTTTACCTCGTTCACTCCTCCCCTGCTGCCTTGCCCTGTGCGGGAAATTTAGGTCAGAAAGACCACAAGTTTTTTTCCCCGAGGGCAAAAAAAAGAAAGTAAACAGTGTTTGTACGTCAGTCAGCAGGGGGCAGGGTGAGGGGAGAGCATACAGTACATGCAGTGGCATCCAGAGTTACAATGCTGAAGAAGGGAGCAGTGGCACAGCAACATAGACTCAATGTGACCAAAAAATGTCGGCCTTGTGCAGTTCCTGAATGTAGGGGACGTCGTCTGTCCTGTTAAAATAACAACTGTTCTTGGCAAAATGAACAGTCAAACAAATGACTCAGGGCTCCGTGTAAATAAACTGCCACTTTTGCAGGAGATGGAGACGGTGGATAAAGGACCGTGAGTCAGGCTGAACATTGCTCTGACACATTAAGAGCAAGTGCATCTGAGCAGATAAGGAATACAACGAAGCACACACTCCGACTGGGTGCTTTACTGAATAAAAGACACCAGAAATATGAGAGCTAATCTGCTCCGTATGTACTGCTAACACAAAATAATGTTCTACCGAGCTTTGGAAAATTTGACAGATGAACCAAAGATGAACCAGAGCTGTGATGACAGCAGATGTGACGGAAAGCTGTCGGGGAGGAAGGTTTTGAAATTAAAACAAAACAATTCAAAGTCCTGAAGTGAGCAGGTGGCTGGTACCTTTTCCGTAGGAGTATGTGAAACTCGGAATTCCGCAGACTGGTGATGGATACGTAAGGCAGCTCAAACTCCTGCAACTTCCTCACAACTTAGAGACACAGGAAATATACACACAAAGAAAGAAAGAAAAGGGGAGGGGGGGTGAGAAACTGGTGCAGTCTGAGTCCCAAGGTGATTAGGATAATGATGCAAACATCAAACAACGAGGGATAAGAGAATTCCATCTGGTTTTGGTCCCTGCTGGAAAACATTTGTGAGTGCACACAAGAGCGAGCGTGTTCATTATCTACAGCTGTTCTACTACAGCACATTCCCAAAGGACGGAGAAGGAGAGTGAAGAAGATCTCAGGTGGTGCTGGAGTCTCAGCTCATGTACTCAAGCCTAAAAACCCAAACCCTCGGTTTGATAGCAAACTCGACCGTCTCTCTGTGTGTGGGTAGAATTGTTCTTTACAAGAAGCAGGAACACCGCTGGTACTTTGATGCTGCAAGTCTGAGTCGTAGAAAAAGCAGACAGTCTGAAATCTGAAAATCTTATGAAATACTACTTGGTGCCCTGAGTTGTCAGTGAAACAATGCACACAAAAAAACCCCAAGTCTGCTATTTCCAACCACACGCTGGCCTTCCTGACATGTCTTTGCATATTTTACAGCACATATTGATTTACACACAGACTTCTGGGAAACTCGCTCACTGTTGGGCAGGAATTGAGTTCTTTTCGTCTTCCTGTTATGTCAATACTCCCACCAGTCATTCTTGTTTGATACGCAGACTGCGGTGCAACATTTATTTTCATATGCGAGACATATTCAAAACAGCCCTGCTCTTTTATACCCCTCAGATTCAAAGTAGGCCAAGAACAGCCAATGTGCCTGGAATATTTGCAGATTCTTTTTTACCAAGTTCACCTGGCACTATTTTCAGCCTGTTGAAAAAGGCCTTTTGGGAGTGGGGGAGGTAGAGTCTACCAGACTGCAGAAACGCTTTGAAGGGATCATCTGCTTGTTGTGGCTGATTCTACTACTGGTGATGCACCAAATATTACCTGCTGGACCGCAGACAGGCCAGTCAGGTACGTACAGTAACAGACCCTTCATTGGTCTGGTATTGTTCTACTGACGGGAGCACATGTTTCTCTAAATAAACTATAAAAACAA